GGTGTGGGTGATTGTAGAGGGGAGGAGGTTGAAATGGTATTTTTGATGGATTGTGAAAGGCTATGATATGATGGGTGGTCGAGGTTGTGGGGAGTGATCAGGTTGGGTGGTTGGATTCGGGATAGTACCGAGATTGACGATTGTTGATACCCCTGGACTTTGTCATGCTTGCGGGGGCAAGAGGGGGATGGGAATGGAATGGATCACTCGTATCTGGCTTTGTGGGGTCATTTGTAAGGCGAAAAAGAAATATGGTGTAGTTATTGTAAAAGGTGGTAGATTGTGTAAGCATGTCTTGTGACGATAAATGTCGGTGTTGAAATTGAACGACTGGCGCTCTTCTTTTCCCTCGTTGTTCCGAGATCGGAATATCACAGCTTACACGCCACCGGCCAGACATCCGTAAACGGTTTACCCAAAAGAGGCATCCGCACCACCCCACAGCGGAGGCACCTTGTTGGACAGAGAAGTCGCAGTCAACGGGGCGAGTACGCAAGGCAACCATGGTGCGTCCCGTTTGACGGAGTTTTAATGTTCTTGTCGAGCTTGTGCTTACTGTTCCTCTAAGTTGTGAACCCGAGTTGAATTGGATCTTGGCATTGCCTAATGTCTGGGCTAAGCCACCTTGATGAATTCAGCTTCACTAATTTCCCCTTCCCCGAAAGGTCTCCAACCTCAGTTCTGGGACCCCGGGACGCTAGTGTTTCTGGCCTTCCGGCCTAAGTTTACACGGGTACAACACCCCGGGAACGGGGTTTTGGCGCCGGGGTACGCGGTCCAGACTCTCGCCCTTCGACTGCCCCGAAGCTGGTGGTCCCCAAACAGGTAGTGCTACCCCAAAATGGGGCTCCGTGTAATCCGGCGGCAGATTCGCTCCTGCAAGCTGCGCCATGTCGGGGATGCGGGGCGCCGACGGGTGATGCCGGCCCGCCCCACTGATCAACCTCCGGCGGGGAGGACCTGGCGCTGGCCACAAGATGCACCGCGCATCGGATAAGGGGGGCTCGGGAGGGGCACCGGTGTGAGGGGCAGCGCAGTTGGGGGAGGTGCGGAAGAGCCGACGATCAGACTTGGACAGTAGTGTTCCGGGCAGTGGATAACAACCTGGCCATTACCTATATAAACGAAGGCACCTTCCATTCTCACATCAGATATTCGGAATTCCATGTCTCTGATGTCACCCCAGCCAGCAGCACCCTTCCCATCGCCCACCATTCCAGGACTCGCCACCTAAATCAACAAATCGACAAACCTACACCCCACACCCAACACCCCAAACCAAACCCAACCCAACCCACCAGCAAGGTAACCAAAATGCCCACCCCCCCCGCCGAA